CCAGCAACGGTAGCCGACAAGAAGCAGACAAATCGCGATCCAGAGCCGCAGATCGATTGCGATCAAGCACCGAAGAACCTTCTGGAGGTTCAAGAGGTGAATCCGCAGCCGAAAGAGGAAGGCGATGTGTAGCAACAAGAGCGATTCATCGGAAAAGGCAGTTCACACCTCAAGGTGATGCCGATCGCGTTCGTCGACCGCGTACAGGCTAATCACGACCAGAACATGCCGATCGAGGACTTGCCGACCGATCGAAACAAAGTCCCAAAGGATCCAACAGCTGCCAGATTCATGTGATGGGAGAATACATAACAAAGCTCTTTCAGACCGATTCATCGGGAAGACTGATTCGCACATGAAGAAGACAATTCCAGTGTTCGATGACAGCTTCATTCTGGAATGGGATGTCAAAACTGAAAGGTACTTTGGATTTGGTGGTTGTAGTGACAAGGAGATGTTTTACCTAGATTCTACAGATTTGGGTGGGGAAGCTCTGATGTTGTTCAATGGCCAGAAAAAAATTGGGAAGTGCCGTGATTGGGAAATTTTTAGACTCTTATTATATGATCGCTGTGGCACTCGTATAGAGCTGAGGAGGAAGACATGTGATGATGCAATCCTTAGTGGGGTTGTGTTTCGGTCAGAGAAAGGGATATTTCTGCAGTTTGGATTGAACAAGCAGTCAGATTGGGCAAGCAAGACATATCAGAAATTGCGGAAGCAGGCCATTGGAAAAGAGTTTCAGCCAGCTCCGAATCAAAAACAACTTTTGGCAGACTTGGAATGGTTAGTGGAGCTTAAGCAGATTTTGGACAGCCATTATACTACGCTCGGAAAGTTAGGCCACGAAGATTTGAACGAACGAATTCCAGATCATCAGCTTGAGGACAAGCTGAAACTCAGGCGGGCGGTATTGATAGATGTATGGGTTATGTAGATTCATTGAATCTGGACTATAGTTAGTATGGGTTGTTTGGGTTGTTACTATTAGTTAGTTAGTAGTTTTGGCTATGAGTAGTTATAAATACAGATTAGATTGGGGGAAAAGAATTTACGCAGAAACTTGAAAAAGGGTTAGGGTTTGTGTGGGGAATGAGAGTTGGGATCCTCTCATAAATCAAGATCATCCAAAGTTGTATTCAGGTTTTCGGTGAGGAATAAAGGCTCGATTGGTGCTGGAAAGTGGAGTTTCATAGCTGAACCTTAACAGAATCATCTGTCCGTCTCTGTATATGCTTGATCAACCCCCGTTAGCTTTCTCATACCTTCTGGTTAGGTTTATGTACTGAAGAAGTTTTTTTAATACTACTGAATGATCATGTAGGTATTTCTTCGGAGTCTCTTACTCCAACAACTGAGAACGACTTGGTTCCGGGCCTCCCTCCAACTGCGGCTGCTGTCAAGAACCCAACCTCAAAGATAGTGTACGATGAGCACAATCACGAGCGTTTCCCTCCGGGTGACCCCAACAAGCGGGCATTTGCTTATTTCGTTCTCTCTGGTGGTAGATTTGTGTATGCTTCAGTGATTCGTCTTCTCATCCTCAAGTTGGTACTGAGTATGTCAGCCAGTAAGGATGTTCTGGCGCTTGCTACACTGGAGGTTGACTTGTCTAGCATCGAGCCTGGTACCACAGTGACTGTCAAGTGGCGGGGAAAGCCCGTCTTCATCAGGCGCCGCACAGATGAGGATATCAAGCTGGCAAACAGTGTTGATTTGTTGTCGCTTCGTGACCCACAGCTGGATGCAGAGAGAGTGAAGAACCCAGAATGGCTCATTGTGGTCGGGGTATGCACTCATCTTGGCTGCATTCCCTTGCCTAATGCCGGGGACTTTGGGGGATGGTTCTGCCCGTGCCATGGCTCGCATTATGACATTTCTGGCAGGATCCGCAAGGGGCCAGCGCCTTACAACCTGGAGGTTCCGACCTACTCATTCCTTGATGAGGACAAATTGCTGATCGGTTAGAAGGTAAATGCTGTTTTGCTCTCTAGAGAAAAGAAAAAAGAAAAGTTTATTGATTCGGTTGGATAAAAGTCAGTAACCTGTTCGGGGAACAAATCTCTGTAGTGGCCAATCTGATGAGTTGTTGGGTATTGTGTTCAGTTTGTTTATGAAACTTTAATATGTGAGTTTGTGGTGTTGGCTAAATAAGCTTTTGTGGCATTGTTGATTCGGATTTAGAGAGCAACAAGGAAGCGACCATTTTGTGTACTAATGTGGAATGTGAAAATTTTACCATTGGTAGCAGACGTTGTTGTTATATTCCATATTGCTGAATAAGCTGTGTGGCGTATCTGTATCGCGGCTCCCGCTGATCGAGATTCGAGAGCGTAAGTTTTACTGTTTGCTCTGCAGTGGCTGTAGATGCTGAATAGTTGCATATTCAGAGTGTTGTAGAGAGAGAGAGACTAGTCGCATTTGATGTGAAGGATGAAGATAGAGAGATCCCAGGACTTAACGTTGACTTGACGCCGTTATCACTCCATTTTTCGTTAAAAACCCAGCTATGCGGCATATGATGAAATGTACAAAAATATATAGGTCATTGAAACTGTATCAGAGTTATTATCATACAATAACACTAACGTTGAAATTTGTTGTATGATAAGTTTGTAATGCTGTTTAGATGTGGAATGAATAATGAGTCATAGGCACCCAGGGGAACCTGGAAATTGACGGACGGCTACATAACGGAACGCCACATCTCTCTCTCTCTCAGTTTCTTCTTCACTGCGTTTTTTTTCTGTTTTGTGTGTTCGCCGTATTCACCCACACCTCATCCCTTATCTCTCTCTCTCTCTCTCTCGATTATTTACCCTTTGATTTCTTACTTCTCCGCGACGGCCCTGAAGCCTGCATTCAGTCTTCAAGTGGTACGGTGTCCTCCCCCCTCTATTGCTCCCTCTTCTAGGGTTTTTCCCTCCTCCTCCGTTGTTTTATGTCCGTGGTTTTCCTGATTCTTCCCGCTCTTAGCTCCGTCTCTTCTTCACCTACTGAATTGAATCGGTGATTTTCTTTGTTGTTTTCGCTGTCTAAATCCTTCGTCTTCCTCGTTGTTAGCATCCAAGAATTCGGGATTGACGGTATTGTTTAGGTCGCATTCTTCTCTTTACTTATTTTTTCCCCAATCCCTAACTTGACATTATTGTTATACAAAACCCTTGTTTTTCCTCTCGTCTAACCTTCTCTTTCTGATTATCGATTGAATTTGTTGATTACTTTTCGATATCTTTCTGGGTCGATTTCGGATCGACTCTCAGAAGCAATGAATGCCGAACCCGAATCCCAGATGCTCTGATATAGCATATGATTCGCGTTTGCTGTTTTCTCGTATACATAAATATTTTACGCTGACCATTTAATTTGTTGAGCTTTTCGGCTATCCCATTCGCGTTTCTTGTCACATAGACTTGCAGACGACGCAACCCTAGTATTCTGTGACATCATTGGCATCACCAATTGCTGTATGCTGGTTTGTGAGGGAGAAATATCGTACTTTGGACTGTGGTTGTGGTTTGATTTTTCATTGCCATGTTAGGCTGCCTGTAACATGGAGCTTTTTGTCTGCTGTTACGATATGCTACCAGGTGTCTCTTTGAATCCTCAAGATGGCAGCTGATCAGCGGAGGAAACGGATGAACAGTGCCAATATTGTTGGTTTTTGCTCTAGGGAGCATTATAGAACCAAAAAGAAAAAGATTGCTCCACCCAGCAGTCATTTGAATACAAGAGATCATATTAATCTTGAGTGGGACAGCAACAGAAATAAGGTTGTTGCCAAGAGGGAACAAGTTGGAATAAGCTTGAGACATCTGCGCCAGTTTGTTAATCCTGTTCCTCGTAGACAGAATTTCTTGGCAGACGTGTGCTTGGTTCCAGAAGAATTTTTTGAGTTGGAAAATATGTCAGAGGTGCTTTCCTATGAGGTAGTGTTAGTTTTATTCTTTCATATCATCTGCTTACTTCTCTGAGATATGAGGTTTTCACCATCTTTCCAGCTTATGTTTCTCAGGTTTGGCAGTCTCTTCTATCAGAAGGTGAAAGAAGTTATCTACAACAATTCCTTCCCAAGGGAGTAGATGTGGAGCAAGTGGTACAAGCATTGCTTGATGGGGATAATTTTCATTTTGGAAATCCTTTTCTTGACTGGTTAGTATTAATACAGGTCTTCTAAGTTGTGGATCCTGGATAGGTATAATGAACTCTGTGCAAGAGATCTAAATAAAGCTAGAATATTTTGGCTTAAAACATGTCTCAGTGATTGAGTATGTATACCTGATAAGGGACTAGTTTCAACAGAGTATATTCTTCTTTTATCTTATTTGGCCATTGATCTACACTTTTTATGCTAATCATTCACTTTTAGCTGCATGATATGGTTTTGTATTCTCATCATGCGTTGTGGGTGACCTAAATGACGCTGGTAAAATTTGAATGGTCGATTTGATCAGAAGTTTTGGTTTCAGGGGCACAGCTGTTTGCTCCGGCGAGTTCCATCCAGATGGAATTCTTTCTCAGGAGGAACGCATTAGGGCTGATAAAAGACAATATTACTCAGAGTTACAAAAATACCATTATCAGTATGCATTCTTTCTATTCATATGACATGGACATTGGAGCTGTACATATGCGTGAATGTAATTCTTCTTTTCTTGTTTTTCTTGCAGGATTATAGATTATTTGCAGGAGTTGAAGGAGAAATGGGAAAGCTGCAAAGATCCAGAGAGGGATATTGTTACACATATGTGGGGGTCAGTGCTTGTCATTTCTTGAATATCCTTTTGAGTTCAAAGTAACGAAGCAGATACATTCAATCTTGGTTGATGAAATGCCTCCGCATCATTTGCTTTGTAAATGTAAATATGTTTCAGGTTTTTGCTATGATTAATTTCAGATTATAACCCATAATTTTAAATAGAATATACAATAAGAAAATGTGTTTAGTACGAGCCTTATGCTATTTGGGTTTGATCTTAGTGGTAACTAAGTAAGTTGTGAACACGGTTTTAGATATAATTGTTGTTTATGTTAATTTCTTCAGGAGATTAAGAGGGAAAAATGCAAATGCTACCACCAGTCGCCAGGACCTTGAGCAGGATCTAACTGCTCCATCTGAATCTTGTTCTTGGGATGCCGATGAAAAACCATGTAGTAGTGATAATAAGAATGCTTCTGTTGCTAGGACTAGGGAAGTTCAGAAAAGGTGTGGAACTTATACATTCACACATGCATACACAATTTTTGGTATTCTTTTCCTCTTATTCGCATCTGTGCTCTAATTCCGCTTTCCATGTCAGGTCCAAGAGTTTTGCAAAAAGCAGAGAGAGAAAAAAATCTGGAAGTTCCTCGGTTGCTCTAGATAGTGCCGTGAACATTGGTGCAAAAGCTAGAAAAAAGGACAAGCTACCGAAACATCACAGCCAACAAACTGATGGTGCTAAATACATGTCGTATCTTAAGGTTAGTTGTTATTTTCGCTTTTGCTGCTCCATTGAGCTCATATATTTGATATTATTTATCCATTGGATTCTGAAGATTTTATTGGACTATAGTAATTTGATTTTCCAAAACACCATTTAGCTTGAACAATATTAAAATTCTATCGATCTGCCCACAACTCAGTATTGTTCTCCCAGTTCGGAGCCTATGTTGAAATTGTTATCCTAGGTTGCTATGTCGGGTTGATGTCATTGTTTGGTATGGTTGCTATAGGCATGTAGCTGTTTTTATTCCGTGGGATTTTAGGGTCTCATGTAATCTTGGTTCTTTAACAACTTCTAGATACTGGTTTTTATGTCTCTTGATATATGTAGTTTTTGAGGAACATTCAGTTGCGTTTTACCAAAAGAAAAAGTGACTTTTGCGCTATGTTAGAAACCTTTATGAAAAGTTTGTTCTTGGAACATTGAATTCTGTCCTAGGATACCTGGTCTCATACAGCTAATTTTTGGGTTAATGAATAAAACATGAGCAATGGAGCTTTCTGAGGTTACATAAGGACTCAATGCGTTTATATATTTCAGATAAGCAAGAAGCAATATCAGATTGTCACAAGCATGAAACAGTCTGGTACGAGCATTCAGTCAAGAGCACTTAATCGTATCTTAGGTAACATTGAGACGTTGGATGTACAACCGTATGGAGTTTTTGTAGAAGAAGAGAAGGAGAAATTGAATGCACATTGGTCAGCATTCTCGTGGAACAAGTTACTTCCTTTTGTCAAGCTTTATTTCTGCTTTCTTGAAACTCAGTTTGTTTCATGTAGGCTGCAATTGGTAAAAGATATTCCTGCAGCATACGCAATCTGGAAAAAGTTAGAGTTACAGAAACGGGATATAATCAAGTCTGTGGAAGGAGAACTGAAGGACAAAGTCAATCCATGGATGGAGGTCTTTACCTATTACGTCTTGTGTCTAGTAATTTTATGTTCCTTTACTTATGAATATTGTTTGTTTCTGCGCTTCTGTTTCATTTAAAAAATTCTCTGGATCAGGATGAACAGAAACTGTACCATGCGGACAATCCCCTTGGGAAGGATGATTTTCATAGGAACAAGGACACGGTGGAAGAGGACAAAAAAGGTTTGATTCTGGATCAGAACAGTGATTCAGCACCACTCCAAGAACCAGACGTTGAAATTTCTGGGAATTCCAGTCAACTATCCACTAGAAATGACTTCCCCCCTGCGCTGGAGTTATCCTATTACAGCAAACAAACCAGAGATTCGGGTCAGTGCTTGCAACTTGCTCCGTCCTCGTCACAGATTTCTTCACCAGATTGTGGCAATAATGTCAATCTAAACGATATAGAAAAGAAACAATATTCCTTTCCTTGTTCTCCCAACTGCGACCATGACATCACGGAAAAGAAGGCTGAAGAAGATGAATATTCGTGTGCCCTACAAGATCAGTCTCTCCCACAGGCCTCTCCTGCTAGTGAGCACCATGCCTTAGAGCTGAATAATATCAATTCTATAGGCAAGAAACACATTTCAGAAATGGAGAATTCCTCATCAGTTATGCCAGAACTGTCAACGAATTTGAGGATCCCTTCAAGTCATGAGTACTCTCAGTTTTGTTCCAGTGGAGATGTGTGGCAACCCATGGGAGGAAATGGGCAGTCTTACATAGACCGCGAAGCTTACACAAGTGGTGGTTTATCAATCGTGCATAACCCTCGTGGCAATGAAGAAGAATCATTTCATAATCCTCAAGGCGAGGAAGAAGAATCGAGAAACTGCTTCGTAGGTCTTGCATCAGATGTGCGCAAGGAAGATGATAGGAAGAATATATTGCAGACACAACCAGATGGCGGTTCCTTTGGTTCTTTCCCGAACAATGATCGAAAAGAGCTACTCCATTCTCTATTCAAAGGGCAGGACATGCCGTCTCATCACTTGGAACAGCTTCACATTCTCCTTAGAGGGCCACATAATGAAGAGCATAAACAGATGATGGGTATGGATTTCCAGGAACCAAGCAACAGTCTGATGGACGGTGGTCAGTTTTCAGGTCATTTCCCCGTTCAGATGCCGCCTCCACATGCAATGGCCCAGAACCAGCAAACACAGAATCACATTTATGGCGTAGGAAGCATATCAGAGAACATTTACTGCGATGGACGTGAATTCTTGATGCAGAGGCAGGACTGGGATACGAGTTCTGCACAGATGGGAGTCACTATACATCCCCAGTTGAGTACAGGACCTGTGTTAAGTCAGAATTGGCAACTTAGAAGCGTTTGGGCAGACACAAATGGCTTGGGTTGCGCAAGCCAAGGCAATCAAGCTAGGGCCAACAGAGATCCCAGCCTTTTAAGAGGTGTTAGTGAGGCCGAGCAGATCCTTCACAGGGGAAACAGCTCAGACCAGAGCTTATTCTCTGTTCTCTCTCGATGTAGCCAACTGCACCACTCCAGAACGCCCTGTGAATCAACTAGTGCTAATGATCGATTTGTTGCACCCAGTAACTATGGCATGATGACAGGTGGAGCAGCTCAGGTAGACAGCAATTTGCCTCAGCCTGCTGACCCACTTGATTACTTGAGTGACAATAACCCAGCGACATCTTTGATGCCAGATGATGTTGGGTGGATGAACCAGACCCATGAGAGCTCTGCTCTCCATGACCCACTAGGCAAGCTGTATCCCAGGTCATGGAATCAATAACGCTGTTTCTCAAGTTGTAGATGGCAGAAACCGCAGGTTCAATTGAAAATTTGAAACCAGCGTAGTTGGTGACAAACAGTGAAACCCAGTGGTCAGGGGTTTCTTTTTTGGGTTCTAGCAAGTAGGTGTACATAGGGAGATACAGAAATGCAGAACTGAGACGCAGTATGGTTGTTTTTGTACATATATATCTAGGCATTTGTTATATGGTCGACAAAAGCAGCTACCGTTTGTTTGTTTTTTTTTTCCGTTGCGTAATTTACTTTTATTACCTACAAAGAGTACATTTTCATTTTCCCCTTCTCTCGCGGTGTGGGTACCCGAACCTACAGGACTGTCGGTATCCTAAATTTGAGAACCCGACTTGCGGCAAATACAAGGTCGGATCCATGGCGTTCGTGGGCCCGGGCTGCGAGTTTCATTGTTTTTATCATCAACATCGCCTTAGTCCCAAGTTTATTTGGGGTCGACTGCATGAATTTTTCGTTTCCATTCATTTCAGTTTTGTGTTAGCTCTTTCGGAATTTGTAACAATTCCAAATCGTTTCTAATTACACGTTCTCAAATAAGCCTAGGTTTACCCCTTCCATTTATCTTTACCCCATTCTTATACTCTCTAATTTTCTAACCGGCGCATTCATCGGCCTACGTTGTACATGTCCAAACTATCTTAAACGTCCATCTTTTAACTTTTCTTCTGTACCTATTACACATATTTTCTCTCTAATAGTCCCATTCCTAATTCTATCCATCCTTGTATGTCCGCACATCCATCTCAACATCCTCATCTCGGCCACACTCATTTTAGATATATGTTGTCCTTTCGCCGCCCAACATTCGCTACCATACATCAATGCGGGTCTTATGGCAGTACGATTGAATTTTCCTTTCAACCATATAGGAACTTTACGATCGCAAAGAACCCCCGTTGATTGTCTCCATTTTATCCATCCCGTTTTATCTTATGATTAACATTTTCGTCGCAACCCACATCCTTTTGAAAGATTGACCCAATACACTTAAAATGCGGGTTTTGATGAACTGATACTCCTTCCAAACTAACTCCTACATAACTAGAACTCCTTCCACTAAAATCGCAATACATATACTCGGTTTTCGTTCTACTAAGTTTAAAACCCTTAATCTCTAATGTACTCATTCATAACTCTAATTCTCCATTTACTCCTTCTCTAGACTAATCTACTAGCACGATATCGTCTGCGAACATCATGCACCACGGTACTTCTTTCTGTATATCTCTAGTCAATTTGTCCATGAGTAATGCGAATAGGTACGGGCTTAGAGCGGACCCTTGGTGCAACTCTATCGAGATGGAAAAATCTCGCGTGTTACCCCCTTTTGTTCGGACACTAGTGGTCGCACCTTTATACATATCCTTCAACACTTGTATGTGAGAATCTCACTGATACCCCTCTACGTTCTAACACCCACCCTAAAACCTCTCTTGGTACTCGATCATAAGCATTTTCGAGATCGATAAATACCATGTGCAAATATTTTTTCATATCTCGAAACTTCTCCATCGAGTTATGGATGAGAAAGATTGCTTCCATGGTAAAGCTTCCGGACATGAAACCAAATTGATTTACGAAAATAGATGTGTCGGTACGTAAATGTCGCTCCACAACCCTTTCCCACAACTTCATGGTATGACTCATGAGTTTGATTCCTCTATAATTTGTGCAACTCTGGATATCTCCCTTATTTTTAAAGATAGGGACTAAAGTGTTTTGTCTCCATTCATTTGACATCTTCTTCGACATTAGGATTTTATTAAACAACCTAGTAAGCCAAATTGCTCCCACTTCTCCTAAGCACTTTCATACCTCGATAGGGATATCATCAGGACCACATGCTTTGCCTATTTTCATCTTTTTTAGTGATCTCTCACCTCTACATATCTAATCCTCCTAGTATAACTCTCATTTCTCTCCCTAATAATAGTCTCTAGTTTTATGTGGTTTGTATCCCTACTTTCGTTGTATAAATCATCGAAATAACTCCTCCATCTCTCCTTGATGTCGTCATATTTAACTAGATACATCTGACGACGCTCAAGTCTCTAGTTCTCCTTTATCTCGCTCTAGCTATTCTATATATATATCGTTTTCTCCTTTCTTTGTACCGAGTCTCTCATACATCCTTTCAAAAGCCTTTGCTCTTGCTTGGCTAACGCTTTCTCCGCCTCCTTCTTAGCCAACTTATATTGTTCATATGCCTCATTTGAATTACATTTAGACAATTTCCTATACCACTCTTTCTTGGTCTTTAAAGCCTTTTGTACTTCTTCGTTCTACCACCACTTCTCCTTTGTTGGTGGTACATACCATTTTGATTCCCCAATTACCTCTATAGCAATACTCTTAATGCTAGATGACATATCTAACCACATTTCATTGACTTCCTTATCTTCGCTCCACACCTTCAATTTTAACATCTCCTTCTCAAATAGCTCGCACTTTTGATCTTGTAGATCCCACCACCTAATTCTAAGCATATCCTTCTTCCTTGGACGGATAGCCTTTTTCGTGATCTTGACATCTAACACTAGCAATCTATGTTGACTAGTTAGAAGTACTTCGCTCGGAATAACTTTACAATCCTTATATAGAGTACGATTTGACTTCCTTGTAAGGAGAAAGTCGATTTGACTATGGTTTTGCCCACTCTTAAAGGTCACTAGATGCGATTCCCTTTTCTGAAAGTGAGTATTTGCCAATATGAGGTCATAAAACATGATAAAATATATGATACTTTTTCCTTCTTCGTTCCTGCTCCCATAGCCAAACCCACCATGTACCATTTCATATTCTTGTCGATCATTTCCTACATGTCCATTTAAATCTCCACCGATAAAAATAGACTCTTCGAGCGGTACACTTTGCATAATGTCATCCATGTCCTCCCAAAATTTCTCTTTACACTCACTATCTAATCCTATTTATGGGGCATAACCTCTAATCTCATTGATATCTTCTCCCTCTATAACTAATTTCACTAGGATGATCCTATCACCTACTCGTTTTACTGCAACCACCGACTCCTTTAAAGACCTATCTAAGATAATGCCCACCTTATTTCTATTTCGTTCTTGACCCGAATACCACAATCTAAAACCCCTATTTTTCTCTCTTACCCACTTAGTCTCATGGATGCAAGCAATGTTCACTCTCCTTCTACTCATTGTGTCTACAAGTTCCATTAACTTCCCCGTAAATGTTCCGATATTCCAAGTACCTACCCTAACTTTCCGTTCCACCGAAGCTTTCTTACTTCCCTTCCTATAAGTCTCCCTCTTGTCTACCCTACTTAGACTTTTAGTAACATCGGCAGTCTGGACTAACTTCTTTATCTACACTCGTCCACGATGTGGGAACTCTTACCTATTTAGCACCCCATCCGGGCACCGATATGGCGCGTCGCATTCGGGAGACGCCCTACACCTTTACCTATTTTTCATTACACCCGGGTTTAGGTTGTCATTATTTTAGGTTGTAATTATTTTATATGTTTTAGGTTCGGTGTTTTTATTTGTTTTATTGCGGGAAGTTAGGAATAATAATAGGCCTCGGTCGGAGACTCGGACGTGTCGCTTTGAGCATGGACGCATTACTTTCAGAGGATTGTCAAATAAAATAAGTGGGGAGGAGGACAGATCACGAGAGTTTGTGGCGATGACAAAGCCAAAGGAAAAGGAAGCGGAATATCGACTGAAGAGCAAGCGAAGGAAGGAAACATGATTGAACTGGTGCCAACCAACCTTACTTAGGAGAATATAGAATGGAGACGCAAGTGAAGGTTTGAAGGTGGATCCTATAACGAGGTAATTAAAGTTTCTGGATCAATATTACAAATAAACATTTTTTTCCCAAATAGAGATTTGAATCTGTGTTAGGAAAGAGTGTATCTTGGGTAAAAGTGTAAATGAAAGAGAGTGAAAAAAAATCTATGAACCATTGGGTAAAAGTACAAATAGACATGAATTATACTAGTTACATTATTGATTACTCCACCATGTTTCGGCAGTAACTCTATGAGGCATTGGATCCATGTGAAGAAATACTTGCAAAACAACAAAACTCTTTTAACAACTACAACAAAGATATCTCTAAATTAGTGGGATGAGTAGAACAGTGAACATGAAGCGCATAAAGCAGCAAGCCACCATTCGATCAACCCTTTTGGGATCATCCCTCTAGAACAAACATCAACTACTCTTCCCTCATCACTGACACGGGTTATCCTCCTAAATAAATCCTCCATTGAAGACTCTTCCGGGGTCATCAACAAAAAAGTCTTTCACGCTCGTCTTGCCTCATTTTTGTTTTTTGATCCTCTTTCACATAAGTATATGTTAAATCATATTCTAGGATTTACATTTTGTTACCATCTATTCTATAAAAAAAACTCATATTTTCTCGCTATTTTTTAACGTCTGTTTACCTATGGCTTTTTTTTTTTGCTTAATTTCTATAGATTAGAGTTTTGAATGAGTGATTTTAAATAGAAGTTTTAACTTTAGTAAGTGGTAAAGTTTAGGGTTTTAATTTTAAAGTATCAGGGTTTTGATCTTAACATATCCATACCACGATAATCTGAGCAAAGGGAGGAGGGGATTGTGAGGGCACAGTGAGGCCATGAGGGTGTGACCGTGTGAGATTCGAGGGTCGATGTCAGAGATGGAGGGAGAGGAAAGTGTGTCGAGAGAGAGGGGGAGACTGCGATTTGGAGTAATGAGAGGAGGTGAAGGGTTATAGTTATTGTGTTATGTTTTAATTTTAAAGAGAGATTGAGATTTTGGTTTGAAAAAAACATTCGGAGTATAATCATTTGGTTTTATATAAAATTTGGTTCGATTTGGTTCGGTTATTTTTCGGTTCAGTTTGCATTCGGTTTTTTATTATAAAAAACTCAATTTTTAAAAGAAATTGTCAGTTTTTTCGGTTATTTTTTAATCGATTCGGCTCAATTTCGTTTTTTGGGTTTAGAACAATTATAACCGTTTGTTTTTATATCAAATTTAGTTCGGTTACAGTTATATTTTATTCAATTCGGTTCGGCTATTCAATTAATAACCAAAATGATCAAAGTTGCTTAAAATGTGTTGCTGCGGCGACCAAATGTTATTTTTAGTTGTCAGAAGGGAAACGAATGTTGGGAGTAATGAGCCCACGGCCCCACACGGACTTAAACCCAAACCCGACAAAACGCGAACTCAACCTGTGGGTCGGATCGTTTTTATTTCGATCTCTTCGCTCTTTTATTCTCTGCAAGGCCCATCCATGGCGGTCGTCTATCTCTCTCTCCCCCCTAAAAAACTAAAACTAGCGTGTGTAATGTCTCATTGAAATTCTGAGCGCCCGTTTGGTTTCAAAATTTCATCATTTTAGGGTTCTGTTTCTGCCGAGAACGAGGAAAGTAGGCGGCTCTTAGTCACTTTCCAATTCCAAGGTGCAATTCTTCCCCTTCTTTTTTCGTGATTCAGGTTTCTCCTGTTGGATTTCTAATTCGCTCTGAAACGGAATATTTCGTCAGGAATTTTGGGTTCTGAATCGATTGAGGACAATTACTAAACACAACGGCTTTGAAATCAGGACAACTTGCCACGTGGAACATTCATATACGTGAACTTTCCCTCCGACAAGGGCGGTGAAACCCCAAATGATCCGAGTTCAAATTATGAAACCCGCATTTCTGGTCTGTTCCTTCCAATTTCAGTTTCTCCTATAAAAAAAAATCGTTCGAACTTGATTAGCGCACCCAAAGAAAAACACGGAAAAGAAAGGGAATCTCTGCATGGTACATGTTGTAAGTTTGGAACTTTTTCGATTTCGAATCTGTAAAACTTGACCAAAGTAATACAACGTTCGAAGTGATCTGTTTCTCCTCAAGTATGGGGAAAAAGAAGAAAGACATTATCAGATTGGAGAGAGAATCGGTGATCCCAATTCTCAAGCACAAACTCATCACTGCCTTGTCCCTCTTCTTTGGTCTGCCATTTCACCGAATTTCTTTGTTTCTTTCGTTTTATTTTATTTTTGTCTGATTTGTTGCTTTCCTGATTTGCTTCAGAAGACAGATCGGAGAGAGATGAGTTCTTGAAGTTTTGCCAGAGAGTCGAATACACCATTAGAGCTTGGTATCACCTCCACTTCGAGGACCTTTTGGTAAACTGAACGACTACTCTCCTTTCCCTCTTTTCCTTTCTCTTTCTTGTTTTTTTACCTGAATGGCATTACCGTATTATCTGGTTTCAATGTTTCTCAAATCGCTTCAGTACAAGATTTTAATCATAACAACTATTGTGAAATTCATCATAACTTATTGATATATCCAAGATCCTGTCCAACACGCTAATGAAAAACTTATTTTCTTTTCCGAGCATTTTACCATTTGTTCCTACCTATGGATAATTCCCTACAAATTTCTTTTCACATAATACATTCATTTTTCAACATATACTCCAAATGTTTCCTTCACTAAAACTTTAGTTGATCACCTTAATTCAAATTTAACTTATATATAATTGTTCTTTTGTCAAGCCACATAAGAAAAACAAATAGAAGGTCATATATTTCTTAACTTTAATTTGTTGTCTGAGATTGTCTGTAGCAACTGTATGCACTCTTTGAGCCAATCCATGGTGCTCATAGACTGGAACAGCAGAAGCTAACTCATGACAAAATCGATGCTCTTGAACAGAAGTTTGTTCTTCACTTGTTTGAGGTTTCACTTTCAGTTTCGAGCTTTACATATTCTCCTTGTTTCGAGCATGAGTAATAATTGACTAAGAAATATGTCTGCTAAATTTCTAGGTTTGAAACTGTGCAGGTCATGGATAAGAGCAATTTCAAAGTAATAACTGATGAAGAATTGGAAGTAGCACTTTCTGCACAGTATCGTCTCAACCTTCCAATTGTAGTCGATGAAACTAGGGTACCTATAGCTATTTGCAGCCATGAATTCCTTCTGAATATTTATGAGATTTTTCTCACAACAATACTATGGACCTTTGATGAATGTAGCTTGATAAAAAGCTTTTGACAAGTTTCTTCACTGAGTATCCCCGTGATAATCTTCCTCATTTCGCTGATAAGGTAAAGATTACGGCTGAGCTACATTCAGTTTTCTCTCAATTGGATTGATGGCTTTAACGACAAGAATGATTTGTTTTTCATTCCCAGTACATAATTTTCAGACGTGGGTTTGGAATCGATCATATGACAGCTTATTTCTTCGAAGCCAAAGTAAATACGATCGTTTTTCGCATATGGAACTTTTTTCTGACCATCACTGGGTAAACATTCTGTTGGATATGCATGTGAAGAACATTTTCTTAATCATTATTATCTGCAACTGAAAAATTTTATACTCGTGCGCGAGCATTGTTCTGCAGTTTAACAAGACTTGTCTATGGGAAGAAGCAAGACCAACCATCACAACACATTGATATTAAAATTGATTCAGATAAGGATAGTTTATACATCGAAAGAATCCGCATAGAAAAGCTGAAGCTCAGGTTCTAACAAAAGATTTTGGGTTTTTTGTGTTATGCAATTACTATTATTGGGTTTGATCATGTGTCTGTATTGCCTGGTGATTCAGTATCTCTAACTTACTGAAAAAGATCACTATCCAAGAGCCTACCTTCGAGAGAATCATTGTTGTCTACAGGTGAAAACTTTATTTCCAACAGGGAATTTTGGGGAACTATCAAATACTTTCATTCTCATACAAATGTCTCAATTCCATCCCAGAAGAGTTGCAGGTAAGAGGGAATCAGAACGGAATGTATATGTGAAACACTTCAAGAGCATTCCAATGGCTGATATGGAAATCGTTCTCGTGAGCGTCTTACTGCTTACTCTCACTAAGTTAATAAACCATTCTTCATACATGATTATAAATTTCTCTTTCCTTTTATTTGAACAGCCAGAGAAGAAGAATCCAGGTTTGACTCCACTCGACTGGGTCAAGTTTCTTGTCTCTGCCGCCATTGGTCTGGTTAGTTCTTAAATCCACACTTTATGTGACGATCCATTTAAACACTTTTATCTGGAACCTCAAATCTTAACCAGGCATTTGCACAATATGGAAATCTCCCGAAAGAATGTTTTCAACGTTTTATTCCAATAAAATAGTAGTGTGTCAACTTTCAACATTTCTTTTGGGGTTCACGCAGACTACTGTCATAAGTTCAGTAAGCCTTAAAAATGCTGACATCAGAGTGATTGTTGCAATACTGAGCACATTGATCGGCTACTGCGTCAAAACATATTTCACGTTAAGTATTATTTTGTTTTCACTCCTTCACTCTGAAAGAAGATCATGGAAACGACCACTTTAGTTCATGTCTCTTCCGCTAAAATATAGGTTCCAGAGAAACTTAGTTGATTACCAAAGCCTAATCACACGATCCGTCTACGATAAACAACTAGACAGTGGAAGAGGCTCGCTTCTTCATTTGTGCGACGAGGTCATTCAGCAAGAAGTAAGCAAGAACGTGCTTATACTTCTTTGTGGTTTTATTTTCTTTGTTTAAGAAGTGATGATGCTTACTTAGTGAACTTCAGGTTAAAGAGGTTATTATTTCATTCTTCATGCTGATGAGGCAAGAACGTGCCACAAGCAAGGTACTTCTAGAGAAGTCTTATAGGTTTCATATATTGTCTAAATGCTAAAATTAAGGCGATATGACGTGAAGGAGGAGCTTGATGAGCAAAGTGAAGCGTTTATGAAACAAGAATTCAACGAAAACTGTAATTTCGACGTTGATGATGCTGTGAAAAAGCTTGAGAAGCTTGGTCTCGTGTCTCGTGTGAGTATCATGTCTCTTTATCAATACATATTCTGCAACAACTTTGTCAGGTTTTTTTTCCTGATCTTATTCAAGTGATGATTGACCAAATATAAGGAATATTGAGCAAAAGGCAAAGTTAGAACATATACACGTACAAATGTACCAATATTTTGTGATCTTTAATGAACAAGATATTAGTTGATGAAATCCCATAGTAAAATCCAGAATATCCAATTGGGCTAAAGAAAGAACTTGAATTTGATTAAGTTATTTTTCTCAGTCACAACACCCCCAAAGTGAGATTAGTTGACTTTTATTTTGGCAAGTTTTTACTAGGGGTCATTCCACAATGTTAAAACATGTGTCACTCCACGTGACAATTTTGGAATAGTACTGACAGATGCGTTTTTGAACATTAACAGGATGCAGAAGAAAATTATAGATGCGTGGATTTGAAGAAAGCAAATGAGTTAATTGGCACAACCACGGAAGAATTGGTTCTTAAGGCGAGAGGTGGGGAGTCTAACAACGGCACAAACATGGAAAATCAAAACTACGAACACCAAAAGCAACACCTTCACGAAAAAGAAGACATCATCCAATCTAATTTAGATGAATTCGAGGCATTTATATTATAATTGCATTTTTAACTTTGATAAAAAAAATGTGTGTTGGACTAAAAGGATTTGCAGACAAATTGATGGATCTTTTGTGGTAATTCTCGCGCACTTTATGGATTATTTCCAAAAAAAATTGATTAAGATAATGGTACGGGAACAGTTTGCACAACTCAAAACTCAAACTCAGCAATGGGCTCGTCACGTGTCAATAAAATTGGCCTTAAAGTTGGGCCTTGGTTGGGCCCCATTCATAAAGACGGATCCCCGCGAAAATCAATCCTCCAAAAGGAATCAAAATCCCTTCCATCTCCTTGCGCCTTGGAGGAATTCAAGTCAGATCTTCGTCGGAGGTGATTCTTTTGCTCTCTCCTGTCTTTTTTTTTCCCTCTCTCCACATTGTTAGACCTCCTATTGGTTTCATCGGCGCTAACATTGATATACAATCTATTTCCCCTGTCGGAATTTGGGGGTACAATATCATCCATCTCTCTCTCTCTCTCTCTCTCTCTCTCTCTCTCTTTTCTGATTCCTGATCTGGATATGGAAGAGCACTTGGCAAACTCTCCTCGGCTTGATGGTATCGAAGCTAGGTATATCTCTGGTCTGAGTACTATAATGGTTGCCACCATCCAGGAAGCCAAAGACAGGATTTCTCAGATCGAGTACATCTTCTGCAGCCAGTTATTCCCAACTCTTCAATCAAATTCAAAACCCCTGAAAATGGTTTATTCCGAGGCTCGTAACGCGGCCGAGGATTCCTGGAAAGAGACTGAAAAGGGTCTGTTATGTGAGATTGAAGAGCTTAAGCTGCAAAACCAACAGATCTTGGCTGAGAATCGGGCCCTAAAACTGGAGAAGGAAAAGCAATCCCGAGAATTTGATTCAACTTCTAGCCTGCTTCTCAAGGTAAGAACCCAGCATGAGAAAATTGAGGAGTTAACTTTGGAGTTAAGTAAGAAATCAAAGGAACCTGATGATGGGATGGAGTTCTACAATAGACTGGTACAGGTTGAGACTCCGGATTTGCTCAATAAAGAGAAGCAATTAAAAGATCACGAAAAGGAGATTAATATGCTTCTTTCTCAAGTGAAGAGCCTGGAGAGAAAGACAGACTTTCTTCAAGAGGAACTTTCCAGGAAATCCTTGGTGGCAGAGAATCTGCTGAAGAAACTAGAATCTCTGTCGGTAGAGTCCACAAACAGCGAGCACAAGCTAAGCTGTCTTGGAGAAGAGAAGGAAAGACTGATTACCAGGTTGCAGATTTTTGAGGAAAACGTCCGTAGACTAGAAGAGTTGTTAAGACATAAAACTGACGAGCTTGAGGATGGAAGGAAGATTCTGGAAGGATACCGTAAAAAACTCAATTTGACTGAGATAGAATTGCTGGAGAAGAAACAACAGCTAGCTGATGATGAGAAAGAAAAGAAGTTGCTTTTGGAGAAAGTAAGAACCTTGGAGAAGGAAGCTAATAAAATGCATAAACAGCTTGGAGAACGAGGTTGCAAGTTCCTTGGAGAAAGAGGGGAGTATGAAGCTTTATGTTGCCAGAAAGAAGAAAAATCACCCGCGTTAGCTTTGGAGAGAAAGAGAAGAAAAGAGGCGTATGATGCTTACAAAAGGCTAAAATCTCAATATAATTTCCTCTGCAAGAGGTTCGGCCTTTCTGCTGACTCTGTTCTTCACCAAGATCTTGAGGACTCTTTCCCCGAGATGGAGGTGTCTTATTTGCATTTAAATCTTAACCAGATAGAAAGACTTTTCCATTGCTTTTCTGGTACAGTTCCTGAAAAGAAAAACTCCGACACTTCTGGGCCTACTCGTGGAGCAGAGATTGTGAGAAACAACATTGCTTCAGATGACAGTCGTGAGAAAGAGAGAATAACCGAAACGGTTCAGGTGCTGGCTTCTTCTCCTCTCACCATAAGCTTGCCTAGTGCTAAAAATAGTCTATCTGACGCAAAACCCGCATCAATAACTGGATCTCAGCGTCCTGCTACAAGCTGGAGGGACACAAGGTCCCGTCAATCCCCAGGTGTCTTGGATCCTCATGATGATTTTCTAGATACTCCCTTTGAAAATATCAGGAAGGACTTGGTCATAGTCAGGGGGGAAGAATCCCAAGACCTTTCTGATGGTAAGAAACATGATTCAGATAAGGGGACACAGGACATGAATCCTAACACTAGTCCAACAAAAAAACGGATTCAGGTAGTCGGAACGAGTAAAAGAGCTTTCAAGTACGTGACAGCTGTGAGGAAAAAATCTGAAAGGGAAAACTTGAAAGGAATAGAATGCAAGCAGTGCAAGAAATTCTATGATGCTGTTCTTCCAGAGAATGAAGGGGAGGAGACTGGTGGCAACAAGAAAAGCTTCAGATGCGAACACCACGAAGGAGTTTACGGATTCAGGTAGTCGGAACGAGTAAAAGAGCTTTCAAGTACGTGACAGCTGTGAGGAAAAAATCTGAAAGGGAAAACTTGAAAGGAATAGAATGCAAGCAGTGCAAGAAATTCTATGATGCTGTTCTTCCAGAGAATGAAGGGGAGGAGACTGGTGGCAACAAGAAAAGCTTCAGATGCGAACACCACGAAGGAGTTTCGAGGCATCGGTACAAACATGCACCTCCAATGACTCCTGAAGGGTTTTGGAACATTGGGTTTGAGTCAGAAATGTGAATTTCCATGGGTGTGGAGCTCCTCTTTCGGGTGCATATTGAAGTTCGTAGCTACAAAAGATAAGTGCTGGGTGGCATAACAATGGAAAAATCTGCTCATCAAAGGGTCGTATGAGCAATAGAGGTCTGTTCATTCAACAGCTAATTTTAACTTTGATTCCCTAGTTCATTCATGTATGCAAATTTCCAGATTCAAACAGATCTTTTGGGTCTGTTGTAATTTATTGTTCACTAAAAGCCAGAATTTCGAGACCCTAAAATCTGGACGAATGGTAGAAAGCCCTTAAAATCAGGGCAATTGGGTATGATTTGTGTCTGAACGTCCCTACAATGCGCCTTGATTCAGAATGTCCTCTACTGATTCAGGTTCAGCTTGAGGCCACCGGGGAAATGGGAGATATAGTGCGGGTCGGGGAATCGCAAAGGGATGCCTTCCCAGCGAACATGGTCCTTCTTGAAACATTAAGAGTTAAAATTCTCTAAAAAACTTAGAAAATTTCATTTTCCAAATAAAATTAAAGAAAATATCTCAAATGAGTTTATAAAAAAATTTAGAAGATTATTCAGTGATAAAATAGACATAAAACGATAATTTTCGCCAAAAAATTAAATCTAACTCGGCAAATAAATAAACAGATTTATATAAAAATTAATCTTCGAAAACACTCGATCCTAAAAACCTTCACCAACTATTTTTGGGAACTAAAAATTTAAATAAATATTCAATTAAAAAATAATTCGAAAAGTACATAGCCGAGTTTAAACCAAATTTCTTGTTTCATTAGCAATTTTTCTCCCAATTCAAGTAACGATTTCGAATTAACTAAAAATAATAAAAATAATTCTTCTAATCCAATAATTTTTATACAAATCCCTGATTAAATTTGATTAAAAATGAGATTTTAAATATAATAATTATTATTTTAAATCTAATTATTTTTATAAAATGTTATTTTCTATTAGTGTCTTCTATGCACACACGACCTGTATATTTCATTACCCATTCATTTTAATTAGAATTTTTAATTAAGGGTTTGGGATTCGATATTTGGGGTGGGAATTTGGGATTTAGGGATTGGGTTCGGAATTTGGAGATTGGGGGTTGAGATTTGGGGGTTCAGGGGTCGGATTTTCTATTAGGTGACATAAACCTATGTCTTCAATGCACACACAACCTGTATATTTCATTACCCATTCTTTTTAATTGGAATTTTTGATTAAGGGTTTGGGATTCAGGATTTCGGGTGGGAATTTGGGATTTGGGATTTGGGTTCGGAATTTGGGGGTTCGGGATTTGGGGGTTGGGGGTTGAGATTCGAGGGTTCAGGGTTTGGGGTCAGGGGTCGGAGTTCGGGCTCAGGGTTCGGGATTTGAGGTTCGAGGTTTGAGATTCGGGGGGTCAAGTGATGAGGACCTCAAAATCACGAGCGATACATCAAACTATATCTTGGAGATAAAGGAACACATGGAGCTAATGATAGCTTGGAGCGGTAGCACGGAGCTATGAGTTCAATGAGATATCTTGGAGCTTAAGCAATGCTTGGAATGCAAGGATCGCATGGATTTCTTGGAACGCAAGGAACGCACAGAGAAGTCCAATTCCAAGGAGATCAATGATATTTATAAGGCACAATGGGATTTCCAAAACTTGAGGGTTGCACGACCAAATGTTAAACCCGTTCCGCCCAAAATCCGAGCCAAGACGCGCATTCTTCAACAACGTTCTAACACCTTCATTTCTGACGCGTGGAAGTAACTCCGTTTTGAAAGCCCAAGCCCAGCCCACTTTAGCGCAGCTCAAGGACGTCACATTATCAAGATTTCGACCCAATAATAATGCCAAGTCGAGCTGAGTTCATGACATATTGCAACATCGACATTTTTCAATTTCTAAGCACATTTATAAGTAGTCTTGCATGTGTTTTGTGCATTTAATGCACTAGCTGTTGGAGCCTTTGTTCTCTCTTTAAATTCAGATGTAAACATCACAATTTAGTAGACTCGTTGAATGAATTTCGTTTTGTTGAGTTTATCTCCAAACAATCTCGGTTTGTCCGATCCTTCTTCTCTCGGTTGGTCCAAGAACCATTACTCCGGTTTGTCCGAGCTTTACCCCTTCGGTTGGTCCGAAATTCTAACCCCTATCTTCATCCCTCTTTTCGAATCTCCCTTGAGTTCGAGTGCCACGAGAGTGAACCTGTGATTGAGAGAGATTCCCGCATAGCCACTGTGACAGCCCAGGGTACCGCAGGAGAGCGGGGAGTGATCGCCGGTGCGAGAGGCATGGACAAGGGGCGGCTCCTGACGAGCTTCTCGGTAGGGGGTACAGGGGTGAAGCGGACGCACCGGAATGAGAGAGATCCGAGGGCTGTGTAGGTATGGGACTACACAGTCTAAGATAACTTAAAGGAATTAATTGAGCTACTCATAGCAACAAGATGCATCTACCTTTTCGGTTAGCCATCTCGAGAGAACTCCAAAGTTAAGCGTGCTAGCCTTGGAGTAGTCTTAGGATGGGTGACCTCCTGGGAAGT